CAAAGGGTTCCTTAGTGAGGAAATACCTATATAGCTTTATTGGAGATTCTGTTGTCTCTCTTCTTATCTTCGCAATTCCTTCAAAGCTTTTTCAGGAAGTGATTTTTGAACTTCTTATTAGCGCGATCGCTCGACCGATGCTGGAACTGATCGCCTTGAATCTCAAAGCAGAACGGCCTATGGTCCGGCGCAGCGTCGGGCGCGGGGACGTGAACGCGGAACATGGTGCCTTCTTTCGGCAGCGTCTTCACCTGGTTTTGCGCTGTGATGATCTCGAAAGCAAAGCGCGAGTCCTTGATGACTATGCCCCGGACACCTACACGGCTAGGACATCGGCTCCGCGATACCTCGACCTCGGCACCGTGGAAGTCGGCGGCGCTCAGCTTAGCGGCGGCGCCCTGTCCCCCATTGTATAGCTCCGTCCCCAGGATTTCGCGCATGTAGCCTACCCAGAGCTTGTGCAGGGGCGCGAAGACGGCATACTTCTGCCCTTCCTTTGGTAGGTAGTAGAACTGGCGCCGGCGACGCTCGCGAGCGGATAGAGGTTTCGGCTTTAGGGCCTTGGTCCGCTTCTTCTTTTCATCGCGGGCTCGACGACGGGCATCGCGCGCGGTTGTGGGTGGAGGGGAGCTCGGCTTCAGGAAGAGAGGCCGGTGCTGGATCTTATCGGAAAAGATACGATTGGCGCTGTCTGGGCTGTGGGCTCGGCGCAGTAGGTCTTGGGTGAGCGATTGGGTCTCTTCTTTGGGCGGCATTTTGTATATGAGTTTCGAACTCGTGAGATGTCCGTCTCGTTGGTGTTCCTGGACCGTGATTTTACGAGGAGCAGCAATCGTATCTTTTTCGGGAGGGATTTGGGGTAGAGAGGTTGCTTATCGTGGGGCTGCCTTAGCTCTAACGCTAACAGACGCCAAGTCAACCAACCCCAGATCATGACTTGGGTACAAGTTACAAGGTACTTAATGGCCTAGATGACGTTCAGATGGTACCGAGGTTCCTTCTTCAAAATACTTGCAGCAATTCACTTCGCGATCGACCACGGCAACCACTAACCTCAACTTTGATAACTTTGATTATTTCCTTACAATCACAGTCTATCCCCAGGGCCATCTCACTACACTACCCCTCGTCGCATTGCACAATTACTTGTAGCCAGCCCAGCTCGCTCGCGCTTAGCCATGCTACAGCCGCCATAGCGCAGGACCGGAGGAATTCAGCTACCATCGCCAGACCTCGACATCATGTCCGACGACGACGATGCGGCGCGCGACTCGGCGCCCGATCTGCAGATCCTGGGCGATCAGATCACTCTGCAGCCGAGAAGCTACGTCGAGACCCGCCGTCCGGGCCAAGCCGACGAGGAGGAAGCCCTCATGAAGAACATGGCCCGCTTCCGGTCCGAGCCCCTGCGATTCCTCCGCGAAGTCTCGCTGTACGTGTCCGGCACCGGCTGGCGCGCCTACGACAACTTCATCGGCCGACCCATCTTCTACTCCGGCTTCTCCGAGCAGATGAGGACCGCCGTCGTGTCCGCGCCCCTGCTGCGCGATCGCATATCTCAGCTGGCCGACAAGCGCCTCGCCCTCGAGGAGGACGAGGGTTGGCTGCGGAAGGACGACAAAGACTACGCTATCAAGCGGGCGAATAGGCGAGCAGTCATAGAGTCTGGGATACGGGACGTCGCCGACAAGATGACAGATCATATGATCTGCAAGTTTGAGAGCAAGACTTTCATTAGGGGAGCCTACTATCTTTGCACACAACTCCTCACACGCGCCTATCACCAGGGTGAGTCATCTCGGTTTCGCCCGTGCGTCATGGCTTTCTAATAAAAGCTTCTCTATGCAGGCATTCATGTTTCCAGTGAAGAGGTCCTACGACTGAGAAAGGTAGCTGAGGAAGCCGAGCGAAAGGGGCAGAGCATCATATTCTTACCATCGCACCGTTCACACGTCGACTATGTCTCGATGCAGTTAATATGTTATCGTTTGGGTCTAGCTTTGCCTGTTGTTGTAGCAGGAGATAATCTAAATTTCCCCGTGGTCGGGAGCTTCCTTCAACATGCTGGTGAGCATCTTATCCACCCCTCTAAAACCCGGTCTAGTGCTCACATGTCAAGGTGCCATGTGGATTCGAAGGTCTTTTGGTAATGATACCCTGTATACTACTCTGGTCCAGGCATACATAGACACGATGCTGCAAGGCGGTTACAATTTCGAATGTTTCATAGAAGGTGGTCGGTCACGCACCGGCAAGCTGTTGCCGCCCAAATTCGGTATTCTGAGCTTTGTGCTGGACAGCATCTTATCCGGCCGAGTCAAGGATGCCATCGTCTGCCCCGTGAGCACGCAATACGACAAAGTCATCGAAACCGAGGGCTACGTCACAGAGCTTTTGGGTGTTCCGAAGAAGAAGGAGAACCTGGCTGATTTCCTCAGTGGCGGGTCGTCCGTCCTATCACTCAAACTAGGAAGGGTCGACGTCCGTTTCCATGAGCCCTGGAGTCTGCGCAAATACATTGACGAGCAGCTCACAAAGCTAGACAAACCTCCAGGGACTAGGGATTTGACCTCGAAGACGCCTGAAAATGCCGCCTTAAGACAAAAGCTATTGAGGACTATGGGGTACAAAGTCCTTTCCGATATCAATGATGTATCAGTGGTCATGCCTACGGCACTCATTGGTACAGTGCTCCTCACTTTGAGAGGTCGCGGCGTAGGTAAGGCGGAATTGCTGCGACGCATCGAATGGCTGATAGCACGCGTACGTGCTAAAGGGGGCCGAGTGGCTCACTTCCGAAATGCGCCTTTGGGCGATGTTGTCAGCCGCGGTCTAGAGGTGCTTGGTAAAGATCTCGTGGGTGAAGTGCAAGGCTTGGCCGAGCCGACATACTATGCGGTGGACCGGTTTCAGCTCTCTTTTTATCGCAACATGACGATCCACTTATTTATCTCCGAAGCGCTGGTCAGTGTCAGTATGTACACCAGGGTTAAGCAAGGTGGCGGTCCGGCGCATCAAGAAATATCATACACGGCTCTCCGGGAGCAGGTGTTATTCCTCTCGTCGCTATTCCGTGGTGAATTCATATTCCCCAGCGAGGGCTTAGAGGCGAATTTGGAGAAGACTCTAGTCGGGCTTGAGAATGACGGGGTGATCAAGTTGCAAAGAGATGAAAAGGGGTCAATAAACAGTATCGGACTCTCAGAGGAAGAGAGGCTCGCCGGCCGAGAAAATTACGATTTCTATTGCTTCCTGATCTGGCCTTTCATTGAGTCAAGCTGGCTAGCAGCGACGTCGCTCATGGGACTTACTCCGCCGAATAACCAGAAGCAAGATATATGGATCGACGTCGCCCAGGCTCAAAATACAGCACAACTAGTAAGTCGTTTTGAGATATTAACCCCATTAAGAATAGATAAAAATACTGACAACCCATGTTTCTAGCTCGGTAAGACATTATATCACCAAGGCGACCTCAGCTACTTCGAGGCCGTCAACAGAGAGACGATCAAGAACAGCTACCAACGCTTCGAAGAAGAAGGCATCATCTACGCAGTCAAGTCCAAAGACGCCAAATCGCCACCCCGTCTATGTCTCTCTACGGAGTGGAGGGCGTCTCGCGACCCCGACACGGGCGTCCTGCAGGCCTCGGGCAAATTATGGGATTTCATTGAGCGCATCGCCTCGAGTAGGAGGGAGGGCAAGAATCGACGCGATGGCGCGACTGTTAGTACCCGCGTGCTCCGCCTCACGGATGCGCTGGGCGCGCAGCTCTTTGAGAAGGCGGCTGCGCCGGAACGGAAGGTTGATGCGACCCTGAGTGAGGAGGAGGCTGTTAAGTTGAAAAAGGTTGTGAATGCCGAGAGGAGGAGGAGGAAGTTGGAGGGGAGGGCGCATTTGTAAATTGTAAATATAGCTAGCTGGTGATGAGATAAGAAATATTGAGATTTGGGTTGATTGTATTATTTATGAAGTTAACTTCCGTCTTGGTAGGATCCGAGACTTAGAACGTTTCGTACAAGCATGGCCATAAAAGTTAACACTTGGTAACCGCATTTCTCTTTTTGATGCTCTTCACTTTTGATACTGTAGTAGTACGGGTCGATTTTGGCTTACCTAAATCATTGAAAAGGGGGTTGTTTTCGCGTGAAGGGGTAGTTTTCGGCAGCAGGTTGCTCGTACAGACTCCTTCGTTTTTTAACATCACCACCATTTAATTATTCTTTGATTTCATTATTGTTTTTTCTTTAAGAATTACTTGAATATCTATTGCTTTACATGATCTTACGACTCCCCAGTAAGTTTACCGATCTCTGCTAGCCTTGAATGTGGAATAGTCAGATTAGCTCCTTGGAGTGAAGGTGTGTACAGGTTACCTGTGGCCGTTTCAATACCATGTTAAGGGTAGTACTTGGTAATTCCGTTAGATTATTTAGAAGTCTAACAACTATAATGTAGGTCAAGGCTGATATATACCTTTACTGCGTGTGGATCGGTTGTATCCCAGACACCGGGTTTTAACATACCGAAGACAATAAATCAGTACGCGGATTACTATTCCCTTGTGTCCAGCAAATGTTCACCGTCGAGATTCGCGCTATATTGTAATAACAACTCTACAATACCTGGCCGTTCTTCACACACTAAGAGCGCGTATCTTAGGGCAGTCGAGCTATCTTTATCAGCGTTATGCACAGGCACACCATATTCCAATAAAACCTGAGCTGCCGACTCATCATTGCTGTAGATAATGGCTATAAGAAGTACCGTTTGGCCATTCTGGTCGAGCAAAGGTCCGCCCGCTCCTCCCCTTCGCCGGTATAAGCGTTGGTTGGCGGAGTTGTGTGTTAACAAGGGCCCTTCTCTACTTACAGCCAGAGGCTATTTCGTAGGTCGGCTCTTGAAGGTGTATTAGTGTAATGTAGTAGAAAGCAACCAGAGGGAAGCCTCTACCGTCCTTTCCTACGCCGTAAAAAAATTTATCAGTGCGATCAGGAAATTGAACCCAACCCGATTTGAACGGATGACCTTCTGGAGGCAGTTGATGTTTATTTAAGCTTCAAGCTGGAATCAGATGCTCTACCGCTGAGCTATGGGTCCGCTGCGTGCTCAGCAGATTCCGAAGGCCACATTGTAGTCCAAATTCAACCATTTGCATTCAAGGTGGGAGACGGGGAGATTATAGGTTGTGAGGTGCGAAGTCAACAGAGACCTGACTGACGTATGAAGCTGCTTTTGAAGTATTCGATGATGAAAGAGTTAAGTCTCAAGGTATTCTGTGCCTGGACCTTTCGGGCATATGTATCCCAGAATATGCGAGCGTGCTGTAGAAGAGGGCGTTCCTTGAATGTCAGCCTTCAGTCATGGGATGGTCTGCCTTAGCAACATGGTTAAGATATGTTACGCATGATTCCGTATTGTAAAGTAGATCCCTGAAAACATGATAGTACCCTAGGTAGCTTCCTTGTAGCCGCTGCGAGAGCAAAAATTCCTTCATTGAAGCATGCGATAGAGTGAGACACTTAGTTTCGGTCTGATCATCGTTTTGCGTCCAGGTAATGAGGCTGGGACCTAACCTGAGCAGAGCTCTAGGATTCCGTAACCTTCTTTCCTTAGAGTAAAATTGATGGTCGTCGATGTTTAACTTGACTGTCTCCGCTGCTGCTGCGAGGTCCAAAGGGACCTCTGCAAAGATATTCTAGAATAGTAAGTGGAAAACAACCTCGCAACTACTCTCAGATGTATTCAACAAAATACGTACGTGGGTATCTTCCAAGCCCCGTGGCAATGATCTGAGTGTTTTCCTCAATTCCTTCGATGTGTAGCAATTCCTCAGTTCGTCGAGTTAGAGTGCTACCCAGCGAAACCTAGAGAAGTTCAGCGCTTGGCTTAACTGAGTCTCACGGATTAAACTTACATGCCATCTGCTCCGTCGATAAGAGATTCAGCAATTTCTTCTGGGATCCTAGGGGACCATGCTCCCAATTCGTCATCAGGACTAACCGTTTCATGAATGTAATACCTAAGGTCTAGGTTTAAATGTTCGTTCTCGAGGTCTATTTCGTAAGTGATCAAAGGTTTTGGAGCCGATCTAAGATGATCTTCATTACGACTCGTGAAAATCATCAGGAGCCCATCCACCAGCCAGGTAAGGATGGTGCGGATCAAAGCAATCAAGTCATTTCCATTTTCGCACTCATCTAACGCGTCAGATCAGAAGGTCCGGCGATGGATTCGCCCGATTAATAGCCATTTCCAACAGAATGAGGGTACTCATGAAACTCTTAATATGCTCATACGTAGTCGCTATATCTTCTTTGTATGCTTTCCACGAAGCGTAATATTGCAACAAGCCCTGGCAAACTTGAATACCTAGAGAGGCTACACCAACAGCGGTGCCGGTAATAGAGATAGGATCTGCCATGAGAAGAAAGTATCATAAATCGAAATCGTAGTTAAGTAGATGTTAACGAGCTCTAATCAATCGAACGCTCCTGTGGAATAGATAATAAGCCGTGAGGATAAGACTATGACGAGAACTGCTCCTGAATACGCGACAGCCTAGGTAGTGTGTCCATGGGTGTCTAAGCCCCAAAAGGGCTGTGCATATTATTATGTCTCAGTATTAACTGGTCCGGATCTGCTCTCTCCAATTGCAAACCACTTATAGTCAGCGGGACTTTAATCTCCAACCCACAACTTCTGGTCCTGAAGGGTTTTACACCAACCACTCATCAATTGTACGCAGCATAGAGTAATTTTTTTTCACTCGCTGAGTAGGTTCCATAACCCCAGCGCCGCACCAGCAAGCGGCATGAAGATGCGGTAGAAGTTAAGATTCCCCCATCTACCTATAAGCTGTCTTGCGGTATCGAGGCTTAGGATCTTCCTCCCCTGAGCATTTGATACTTCAATTGGAAAGGAGTCAGTAGGATGTATCTGAAGATGTCGAGATAAATTTGGGAGCACATGGGACTATTTTAGGGAAAGGGGCAAATTTCTTCCTTGATCATGATGGAATTAAGGCCACGGTACTCACAAGATGCTATCAACGTATTATTAATGCCTCCGATGAAGAGTAAAGTAAACGGCACTAGCAGCAAGTTTGCAACTCCACCGCCGGCATAGCCCCGCCACTCGCGATCTATAGAGCGATGTCGATATGCGAGGTAGAAGTAGTTCATCGCCGTGACTACGGCCGTTGATGGGATGTAGAGGGCGTGGCTGAACTGCGTGTACCATGCCCGCACCAGGCCGTCTGTTGGCGCGTTGCTCTGTAATATGGCTGGGATTGCGCAGAAGGATAGAGCGCTGATACCGCCTACATCAATCGTCAATTTAAAGCTCTTCAACTAAGAGTAAAGCCAATGTAAGTTTCGACTTACCGGATATCCAGGCCGATCCGACGATGCTGCCGGTGGCTGAAAGAGTCATAGGGGTCGACAAGAAAGGCATAGTGACAATATCAGAAATAGACTGAAGGAAAATTGAAGCCTCGACGAGCTGGTACTAAGGAATGTTAAGTGATTGAGTAACATGCGGCCAGGCAGCGAAATAAGTTTGAATTGTCAAGATGTGATCAAGCTTTCGTCATGGTGAGGTTTACTCACTTATACTCCGATGACTTAGGGTGGGTCGAGAACCTCGGAAAACCCGGACAAGTTCTCGTCTCCGAAATTCCAAATGTCGCATGTTCCTTTACGGCGCTGATCTGATCTTCTCCGATCCGCCTCCCCGTTACCCTTCTTAATTAGTGGGCCTGGTCGGGGCGATTAGCATCGTGTAGTCCGCGTAAGGTTTCAAGGTGATCGTATAGGGGTAGATAGTGATTAGTTCATTCATACCCCTGCAATCAATAGTCCTACCAGGATCAAAGCCGGAACGCGTCTAACTCAAGAGAAAACGTTCCATATGTATTATTTTGAGAAAGAGGTCGAATCAAATAAAAAGGGAGTCTACTGCTTGTCTAAGGTAACCCTTAAAGAAGGTGAGGTGATGCTGGTCACCTTGCCCTCCGAGTCTACGTTGAAGATCAGCTCGTCCATGGCTGCCGACCCGTAAATAACCGATGCTACATTCATCCATGTCGCGCAATCCGTCGAGAACATAGCCGTTGCTTGAGATGGGGCATCCGCGTCTTCAAACACAGCCCTAAATACGACCTTTTTCCCGCCATTAGAACCTTGTCCCTCGAGCCCTGTCGGGTACAGTCTGATTCGTGGTGTCAGGGGCAAGTAACCTATCCAGAACCAAGAGTTAGTAATTACTCGTCTAAGCGTCAATTCGCACGACCTTTGTAAGACTGTGTAATTAAGCCTCGATAGTCAGTGAACATACCGTTCTGCAGCACTGTGGACATCCAGGCGAAGTCAGTTCCGTTGCTAATCCATTGCGACACACTCAGACCAGGCTGATCGTCCGTCTCGATAGTCATTGATGAGTTGAGCTGCGTGGTATTAGAGAAAGCATAGTGTCCGTTGTAGAGAGCTCCTGCATCAGCACGAGCTGCATCTTCGACGGCCGGAATGAGAATCTTTCCGACCGTATCTGAGAGGACGTTAACTTTTTTCGTTGGTTTCGGTTCATACAAGATTCGTTCAATTCATACCTAGAAGGTTGAAGTTCGCATTTGCCGGTAGCTCTCCTGCTAAAAGAACCGAAATGCCAATATCGTAATCCGGAACTTTCAAAAACCATAGTCAGCACTTCCTGTGTTCAAGATTAATAAGCCCGACACTTGTCGGAGCTCAGCGTCAAGGGCGCAGCGTGCATACTGATGGTCATAACAGAGCTATAATCACTAATTCTTCCAGCTTTAGCGAATGCTGTGATCCAGCGATACGGCTGCCCTGCGACATTGACCCTCCTCCCTCCCCATGGTGCGCCAACTGATGCATGCGGATCAGTGGAGAACGAGAAAGGTTTGAGCCAACGTCTTGTGGTAACAGGGTCGAGCAATTTATAACCAAGTATTGCACGCCCAATTTCAGACAAGTCCCCTACCGAAGTGTAAATGTTGCCGGCTCTGCAACCTTATCAGTTTCGGAAATATTAGCGGGCCGAAGGAATTCTTACGCAGCGGCCTCGCCGAGATCAAATGACCACCCCGTTTGATCAGGGTTACCCGGAATGATTCCTCGTGCGCTCTCTGGAGCCCTCAAGAACGTGTTGTTCAAACCGAGCGGCTCGATAATCGTTTCCTTTAGCAAGGACTCGAAAGGCTTCCCAGTGATCGTCTCTAAGGCATAGCTTCTAGATATCTTTACTTAGATGCCGTTACAATACGCAACAGACGTTTTACTTACAAGAGTTGGAACGCTACATTGGAATACGCAGCAGTCGTGAATGGAGGTAATGATGGGCTTGACATATGGAGTTAGATGAGGCTTAGAAGTAGTTTAGGCAAGTCGTAGAGACTCACTGGAACTGCTCGATGCCACTGAAAAACTCTACAAGAAGTGAGCGGAAGTCATTCATCAGTTCGAATTTAGAAACCTCACGTTTTCGACTGCACGTAGGGAAATCTCCGCAAGGAGGACGTTCCTCAGCGCTCAATGGGGGAAATCCATACTGAAGCACATTGTCTTTCGTCGACGGTGTCTGTGTTAATTCTCCCAAAAGAGCATCTGAGTCATAGTCAATTACGAAGGATGAATTTGATGCCAAGGTTACCGCTTACAATCTCGTGGGACGCCCGTCATTTGTGTCGCAAGACCACCAATCGTGACATCCTCCCATGCGGTATTCGCTACAGGATCCGAACGGTTTGTCAGCAGTTGTAGCTCAGGGACGTATTTAGTTATTGGTTCGTTCCATATTTTATCACCCGCATTGATAAGAAACAGGTAGACTGTATGGACCTTGGACAAGCTGCCCAAGCGGAAAATGGTATTCTCATCTACCGTCTTCACTCCTGTTGTGTTTAGCCCTGCTAGTTTCGGTGCCGTATGGAGTACTGAGAAGATAGGGCTCGGATCATGAGCCGAGAAAACCTCTAGAGCAAAGGAGTAATTCTGTGCATTATCTGTGACTCCCTTAAATACATCGGTCAAGTTCGCAACCGCCGCTTTGATAGTTTCGCTTTGCGCAAGTCGTAACGG